CAGTCTGAGACGTTCAGCTCTAGTGCCATGTAGGTATCTATGCAAAAAATACATTACCCCGCCATACAAGCGAGTGTTTTTGAGGAGAGTCTACCAACTTAAAGAGTCCAAAGAAACTTGTCCGTGGTGTCTGCAGTCATTAGAAACCTGGCCTTCAAGTAAAGAGGCTTGGAGATGGGAAGGAAGCTAAACTAACTAAGTAAGGGTCAGAAACACGACAGATTTACATTTTGATAATATTAGTATTTTAAATAATACTGATAAAAATAAACATTTTATCCAAGTGGAGAAATGAAAGTTTAGGGCTACCTGTGCTAAAGAAATGAGAGGGGCCTAGGTAGGACTTTCACGCGTGGTGCATTTTGGGAGTCGTATGTAAATGATCTTTCTCTTTTTCATCCGCCATCTTAAAAGGGTTCACGTGGTAGAAAAGTGAGTGGATATTACCCTAGATTTCTAGCTTAAATTAAATCTAACGCATATAGATTTTATGTTGTTTTTAATACTTAACCATTCATTTCTCTCCAGCATCTATCAAGATGGTGAACACGACTGGGTATCGCCGAGGAACTCGGTATATGTTTTCTAGGGATTTCAGGCGTCGTGGTACGTACAGTGTAACCCTTTGCTTGTTTTATGATTTCTACAATTAATTTACCTTTGTTATTTTATCGTGATATTTTAAGGTGTTATTCACTTGTCGACGTATATGAAAACCTACAAAGTTGCTGATATAGTCGACGTCAAAGTAAGTTGATTTCATTGTATCAAAGTTGGGATGTGGGCCTATTAATTCGAGTACTTAGCCAACTCTTAAAAAAATAATACTGATCTTAGAGAACATACCATATAAAAGGTCATTCATTGCTCTCTATACCCATATTCTCCATTTTACTCCTATTCAGTTCTGATTCCCTTTGTCAGGCATGATTTTCTGGAAGGAGTTAGGAGGAGATGGACCCAGAAGTCAGTGTTGCAGTTAAAAATATTTTAATTTTAGCTTTAAGATACCCTTATATTTCTTACACTCTTTTGCTGCAGACACGCGAATAAATTGTTACTCCAAAGAAATTGCTGAAAAAAACTCCCATAGCACTATACATGATATTGTAGATACTAAACTATGGTCACAAGGGTGTTTGTTACAACAACAATTAATTGTACTTCAAATTTGTTYGTAAATAGTTTYACAATTTTGATGGACAAATCTTTTSACCACTCAATTTTTGAATTCAAGTGGTTTCACTGTTGTTTTTAAAATTATACTGTTTAGCATAAAACCTGGAATTCATTTTTTCCTRCTAGGCTAATGGTGCTATACAGAAGGGTATGCCACACAAAATCTATCATGGCAAAACTGGTAGAGTGTACAATGTCACCAAACGAGCTCTTGGTGTAGTAGTTAACAAAAGAGTCAAGTAAGTTCTTCTATACACTGTATAGTATATATACTCATAAATCAAGTAGTAATAACTGGTATCAGTAGTAATGTTATCTGTATTTTGTTATCTATCATGCTAAGGACTGCACTATTTACATGTATAGAAATAACCTTGAAGTTGTTCACTGTATCAGGTTATCAGAAAAAAAAATCACCAGTTACTACCTCTAGTTAATTACTGGATACTTGATAAAATTATTATTTGCGGTTACCTTGTTATAGCATCCTCAAGACATCCAGCTACTTTTGCTTGAACAAACATCTAATTATTTTCCTACTGAGAACACAGTTGTACACAATTAAAGAGAATGAAAACTTGTTTGTTGTCCCTATGTTTTCTCTGTTTTAATGTTCCATTTTAGTGAAAAGCCAATGCAGCCCACATTGAGTTAACTATTTTTGGGTAATAATTTGTTGTTTTTGTATTCCAGGGGTAGAATCTTGGCCAAGAAGATCAATGTTCGCATTGAGCATGTGAAGCACTCAAAGTGTCGCGATGATTTCCTTAGGTAATATTGAATCTGTTATTTATTGCTGAAAAACTATATCCCATTTGTTAACACAGGTTTGTGTTTATTATTTTGAAGGAGAGTTAAGGAGAATGAACTGAAGAAAAAGGAGGCCAAGGCTGCTGGCACAACTGTCAAATGCAAACGACAGGTACAGTATTAGAGGATCCATACCTTGAGAACTCAAGTTTACCTCACCTGATTTTAGTTTCTGCTGCTGTCATTGTACAAGGCAGAATAATATTTTAGAAAGATTGTTTTTTTGAAATAATGGAACCACAGTATTGAATTAACATTAGTTTTGTTTTTTTTTTCACAGCCTGCCCAACCTCGTCCAGCCCACTTTGTAAAAACAAAGAGAAATAAACCTACAACCCTACAACCACTTCCTTACGAGTTTGTCATCTAAGGAATTGAATTAAACTTGAAATCTCTTTGTCTTTGTTGTTACTGTTTGTGTGTGTGTGTGTGTGGCGGGGAGGGGAGGTTTGGGGGGGGAGGACAGATAATGAAATGCCCTTGTATATTGAAAATGAGTTTCAAGGAAAACACATTGCAATTTTCGGCTGAAAGTTCTAATTTCTTTCATTTATCTGGGTGATAAGTGCACTTGACGTCTGACCAGTCGGTACATGTACAAGTTTTCAGTTGAAAGCAGCATATCATTTCCATAGAAACCAAATAATATCAAACCAAATATTTTAATGAAAAAGCAAGACGCTTTATTTTAGTAGCGAACAAATTAGGGGGGATCTACCTAATCTAATCTTCTTATATGACCCTTCGCAGTACATGTATATAATGGAATACAGAAGTCGAAAATTGCATTGCAATGCTGACAGGATGTTAGTGTAGATGCTGCTCTTTATGAAAGAAGGTCATGTTCTATGAATGGCCATTGGACAAAGTTGACAAATAAAAGACCATCACCTGTATGATAATATTAGTATGTCAGAGAACAACATCAAATGGAATAATTGGATTCCAAAATTCCTGCAATCCAGTGCTTTTATTACAAACATTTTATTGATTTTCCATGGTAACATGCTTACATCTTATCCACTAAAACAGGTTTGTACAACAGCCTAACTGGCCATACAACTACAAGTCAATTGTAGCTTTATGGTGTTCTGGCTCTGTTCTGTTCTTTTGCTGATAGCATAATGTAATACCAGGTATAATAYCAGGCTTTCCAATCTTCTAAAACAGGGAACCCAAGACTGAATTGATATCAACAAATTAGGATTATTCCTCTATGTATTTACATGTGTGCTTCATCAGGAATAAGTGCGAATACTCAATCAATTTGTTCCCTTCATCCTTTTCTGTCTTGATTTTGATATCTTCTGAGAGATGATTTCACCTGTTAACTCCTCATACTTCTCAACTGAACTCTCACAAATGACAGTCGCAAATACTACATCATCTGACAGAAACAAACTYTCCATGTTGATGCTCTCTAACAGTTCTTTCTTTGATTTTTTGGCAAAAGAAACCCTGTTTTCAAGGGATTTTAGAGTTTTTAGTAAGCAGTGGGAGTTTTCTGCTATTAGATCTACATTGATACCTTCAACAGACAGCAAAAACTTAAGTTTTTTCTCAAGATCAGGCACACCTGAGGTAAAGAAATGTTTTGCCGTTAGAATATCTGCAATTTGTTCATTTGGRAATTTATATTTTTTAAGGATTTTGATATTGTCCTCTAGCTCAACTTCATTTCCTTGGAAAAAGAAATATTTTTGTAGAAGTACATAAAGTTGCCTTGGCGTATTAAGAATTTCTTTGAGAAGCTTCACTCTCTCTTCAAAGACTTTCCTATCAAAATTCAAAAACACTTCTGTTTTGGTAAACATCATCTTTTGAATTATCCCAATTTCAAAAAGCAAAGGTCTACTTGTGAAGAACTCCACTGCTTCATACAATTTCTCAACATCTGTGGAAAAGAATGCTGGACAACTGAGCACCATCAGACACGGTGAAACCTGAATTTCCTTTAAGAAGTTTGCAGCTTGTTTAAAATTGTCACCAAGTACCACTTGCTCCCTTGCTCCATCAAATGGCTGCAGCAACAGGCGCAGTGCAAATTCACTCTGATTAATTTTCCTAAAATCTGAATTATTGCTGTCAGTGAATTCATCGTCAAATTCACATGATGATAATAGACCTTTGATTATTTCACAGGCCTTATCTGAGACTGGATATACTACAACCAAAGGATTAGTGTCTATGGCTTTCCCTATAACCTCTCTACTTATGCCTACAGATTCTATACGTCTAACATTTGAGTCGATTGTAGAAAAATCAATACCAAAGATATATGGAGCTTTGACGAAAAGCCTAGGGAGATTACATCCTAAATTATTGAGTAGTTCACCAAGTGGTTTTAAAGTTTCTCTCTTGAATTCCAAGTGAGATGGAACCTCAAAGGCAACAGAAAGAGCATCTTTTGAAGCCATTCCAAACGATTCCAAAATCTCAACCCTTTGCTGCACTTGAGTGACATCAAATCCTAGAATCTGTGGACGTGTATTATGCAAAAAGTGATTAAGTTGTCCTCCTCTTCGTTCAGGCTTTATATTCTTCGGCATTTGTTCTCCTGCATATGATTTCTCCACTTTTTGAACATACTCAAGCAAGGGACGATTTTCTTTACACTGCATCGTTTTGGCAAATGAACGACATAACCCTGTTTTGAAATACCTCCTAAAAAGAGTTATTGTCGGGCAATTTCGATATGTTTGTAAGTATCTAAGTAAACCAAATTGTGAGGAAAACCTCACGTTGGAAGCCATGCTGGACACAGCTATGACTGAGAAAGACTGGGTCTACCGGAAATACCTTCCCGAAATTATCGCACACATTGATTTTTTTGGTAGCTTCAATCATATATAAAACTTGTTTGATGAATACAAAATAAAAACAAACAATAAGCACGATTGTTTAGGGGTTATTATCAGTAAAAAAAAACACACTGGGTTTTATAAATAATATTTCCCGCCATCTTAATTCTGCGCGCGCAGACAAAAGCACGTGGTTTAGAAGGAGCCATTTTGAATCTTCCGGTAAGCCGGTTTCTGTGGAAGTCGTAGTAAATCAAAAGGCATTTTGAGGCTATAAAAATGTCGAAACGCAAAACATCTGCCGAACCAACGCAAGATAAACTCACCCGTATTGCTATCGTGAGTTCAGATAGGTGTAAACCAAAAAGATGTGCGTTAGAATGTAAGAGATCTTGTCCAGTTGTTCGTATGGGCACGGGTATGTAAGAATACTGTACTTTACAACACGTAATCACTCAGAAAAAAAACTTGAAATTTTTCTCTACCTCTTCTAAATCGATTTTCATTACATTCTTTAGGAAAATTATGTATTGTGGTTACTCCAGAATCCAAAATAGCCGAAATTTCGGAAGTTTTGTGCATAGGATGTGGTATTTGTGCCAAGGTAAGAAAAATTATCAAAAATATTTTTACAGCAGTTTTAAAAGCTTGAATAAGTGCGATTTTAGCTCAAGCCCAAATCTTGAATTAAGTCCAATTTAAGGGCCTGTTCTTGTCAATTCGTCTTGCGTTCGCGGTAAAAGACAACATACTAATGACACATGCACATTTCACAAACATCATGATCTCAGTTGTCATCAACATCATCCATCCTACTGCTCGTTATGTCAGTTACAGCGAGAACCTGTTAAATTTCAACTTTGTAAACCGAGAATCCAAACAAACTTCAAAACTTTTTTGGTTGAAATACAAGAATTTTTTGCTGCATAAAGAAAAATATTAAATCCTCAGTTAATCATGAATACATTTCACAAATATCATGCATTTATATAGCACTTCTTGWTTTTGTTTTACAGAAATGTCCCTTTGAAGCCATAGCAATCATCAACTTACCAAGTAATCTTGAGAAGGAAACGACCCATCGCTATGGTCCAAATTCTTTTAAACTTCACAGGTGTGTCAAAATGATAGCACGCCACAAAATAATGAGACTGAAAGCACTGTAATAATGATGATATATCTTGTTGGCTATGAATTGCACTGTACAAATGTTTACACCAGATGCATCCTTTTTGTGACAGTTTTCTGTTGCCTTACATTGTTATCATATCTCCTACAGATTGCCAATCCCTCGTCCTGGTGAGGTTCTAGGGCTTGTGGGAACTAATGGTATTGGCAAGTCCACAGCATTGAAAATTCTTGCTGGCAAGCAAAAGCCTAACTTGGGACGATATGGAGTAAGTATTGTATCACAGCTTTACATTTCATTTGATTTTGTCCCTAACCTTTACAATAAGAGAGGCTAACTACATGAACAGAACATTTTCATGGAGTCTATGCATTGTGGTTTAGAACCCTCCTGACTGGCAAGAAATATTGTTGTATTTCCGTGGCTCAGAATTACAGAACTACTTCACAAAAATCCTGGAGGACGATCTGAAGGTTTGTTTGCCTAGATTTCCACATTTATAGCTTCTTAGCCATTTTCTGAGACTCTAAAATATTATATATTTTGTTTCATATTCAGGCCATTATCAAACCACAATATGTTGATCAGATCCCAAAAGCTGTCAAGGTAGAGAAATGTGGAAAACTTTGATRAAGATTTTCATTTTCTTAACTTTAGGAATGAATTCCAAGACATTTTGACATTAGTTGTAATCTATTTGTTTGTATTATAGGGGAGTGTCCAGTCTATTCTAGACAGAAAAGATGAAACTGAGAGTCAGTTGGAAATATGTAGACAATTAGGTATGTACTAAATGCATTTATTTTGACTCTTATCTCATGTATTTAGTATGTTCTAAAAATTCTCTTACATATTTTTTTTTTCAAAGAAAAAGAAGTCATTCTTTTGCCAAACAAAGTTAATACATAATATTAACACATTTTGCATTTCAGACTTGATTGCTGTACGTGATCGAAATGTTGATGAGCTTTCAGGAGGAGAGCTGCAGCGCTTTGCTTGTGCTGTCGTCTGTATACAACAGGCTGATGTGTAAGTTTTAATAGATCTTAAACTTTGTTAGTATTAGATAGGAACATGTTTCCCTACACTTGATGTTAAAGCTGTTTAACGCTGTCATGAACAGTTGTTTAGTCCAGTCTGTCTTTAGTCCAGTCTGTATATCAGTTTCTTCTTGTTTAGGTACATGTTTGATGAACCCTCCAGTTACTTGGATGTAAAGCAACGTCTCAATGCAGCTAAGACTATCAGAAGTCTTCTTACTGATGACAGGTTGGTCTTATTCTCATATTTTATTCAAAAGAATTAACCTACTGTATGTGTAGACAGTGTATCACAATGTGGAGAAGGATATTTGAGCAGGAACTTCTTTCAGTGAAACAGATGAAAACTTGTTGTATTCTCAAAATACTAAATACTAGCCTACACAAACTCACGAAAATGTTATATTATTACCCATAATCTTGATACAGGGGAGAGATTTTCAAGTCCATATTGTTTTTAGGTACATCATTGTTGTAGAGCATGACTTGAGTGTGCTGGACTACTTGTCTGACTTTATCTGCTGTCTGTATGGTACTCCTGGTGCTTATGGTGTAGTAACTATGCCTTTCAGTGTTAGAGAAGGTACACATCTATATTTGAATGTTTTTTACAGTGTGAGCTTCAGTAGCTAGTGAACACCCTTGTGTTATGAACAACACATCAGACACTTAGTACAAAAATATCCTAGCTAACTAGTGATACTGATRAAGGACTTAAAGTCTTTCAAACTGCATGTATAAACAAGTGTCCCATATGAACTGAACAATTAAGAGTTTAATGCAGCCAAAGAATGTATTTTAGTTTGCTTCTGATTTGAAGTGATTGCCTCTAAAAGAGAGACCTGTAACTACTGGTATTATTTTAAAAAGAGGGTTTTCCTCCCTCAGTAAAAATCAACATGTGAGGAGTGATGTGTGCTAAAATACTTAATGTAGAGGTAGTGAGTGTGAGAGTACAGGGTCCGCAGTAATTGACTCACGCTGTTGCGGTTTCCCTGCCCATATTAGGGGCAAAGCTAATACATTAAAATTAAAAATTAAATTAGATTAAATTAAATTAAATTAGATGGGAGATAGTTATTTAAAAGTAAATTTAAAATAGAGTAATATTTCAGTCTTTGTTTGTACAAGGTATCAATATTTTCTTGGATGGATTTGTGCCAACTGAGAACCTCAGGTTTAGAGAGACTTCTTTGGTGTTCAAAGTGTCTGAAACAGCAGATAAGGTACATGTAATAAAACTTCTTAAGGACACTCTAAATTGGATGCTCTTAACTCTGACTCTTAAGTGTGGATTTTAGTGAATGAATGTTTGATTTATATATAAAATCCATTGTGAATAATATTATGTGGCCAAATATTTTTGATTGATGGCAGGAAGAGGAAGTCAAGAGAATACGTAGATATTCCTACCCATCTATGCATAAGAAGCTAAGTGAGTATAAAAGAAGTTCATATTTCTCGTGAATTGACATTCACACACATGCATGAAAACATGCATGAAACACACATGCACAAAATAAAGTCTTTTCACTTCTATGTGTGGAGATGAGTTTAGGCTCTTTTAACAACCTAAAACCAGAAGTCTTAACCTAAGCACAAGATTGTTTCTTGAGTTTTTCTCACACCAAGATTTGTCTTGTGTACTATAGAGGATTTCCAGTTGAACATTCAAGAGGGTGAATTCACAGATTCAGAAATCATTGTGATGCTTGGAGAGAATGGTAATGTTTAAAAATAATATATAAAGAAGTCTTTTCCTATGATAATAATGAAGTTTGATTTCCACAATGTACTGYTAACTTGTACATTGGTCAGATGTGTTTAATGACTTTGTTGTTGGTAATATTATTTTGTACTAAAAATTATTGTTGGATGACTGAAAAGTGGCTGATTGTTTTGTATTTGTACAATCCATATCACCTGAGCAAATTGCATTGAATTAAGCAATAAAKGATGGGTTGTCGTGAGGTTATCAGTGAAATAAAGCACTGCATTTTTGCACTTTTTCCCAACATTCCCAAGCACTTTATTGAACTGATAAACGCACTTTTTCATTTTCCAGGAACTGGCAAAACGACCTTCATTAGAATGCTTGCTGGCAAATTAAGTCCAGATAATGAGGGTATGTACTTAAAGGATTTCTGTCCATATTCAGTGTCTTGACTCATTCGTTGTAAAGATATTCATAACTTCAATGATTGATATTAAAATAATATGTTTAATAATATTTTCAACAGAGGAAGTCCCAATGCTGAATGTCAGTTACAAACCACAAAAGATCAGCCCCAAGTCCCAGGGTACTGTAAGACAGTTGTTACATACAAAGATTAGRGATTCATATGTACATCCACAGTTTATTGCTGACGTTATTAAACCACTGCAAATTGAAAACATTATGGACCAAGAGGTTAGTAGAAACAAATTTAATAAATTTTGTCTGGTAACTTTTACACTATACTATATTATTGTTTTATAACAGGTTTTGAACTTGTCTGGTGGTGAGCTTCAGCGTGTTGCTCTCACAATTTGCCTTGGAAAGGTAAGTTACTAAAGTGATTGAAACAACAAAGAGTTTTGTTGCCCAGTTTCATTATTCTCATACTGTTTAAATGAGTAAAGCGTGCTATACTGGTCTGTAGCCTCTCTCTGGTCCTTTRACATGCAAGACAGTTTCATCTGACCAGACATGCTGGATTACATACCTTACCTCCAAAACCTTTAGGCAAATACTGCAGCATCTTATATAGTGTTTTGTATGGAGTTAGGGTAGATGAAGTGTAGATGGTACAGGGTTTTTAGTCCAGTAACTATTTTATAATTCAGAATTCCATTTATTGTTTTAGCCAGCTGATGTGTACCTTATTGATGAACCATCTGCTTATCTTGACTCTGAACAGCGTTTGGTAGCAGCTAAAGTTATCAAAAGGTGACATTTTGTTGGTWCTGTTTGTGTGCAATTGATGACCTAGTGTGAGGAGGATGTTACATTTTCCTGGTCAATTTTTKGATATATCTAGACAGAAGGAATTAAAACAGAATCATCACTCTCAAACATTATACACATATTTGAAGAGAATGAAATTTGTCAAAGACCTGTTACTACATTAATTATTCTTTACGACTGGTCAACAGTTTGATTGTCTAGATTAGTAGGTSAACGAAGAAACCTAGTCAATTAAAAAAGATCGTTTTTGGCAGGTTCATTCTCCATGCAAAGAAGACAGGATTTGTGGTTGAGCACGATTTCATCATGGCTACCTATCTTGCTGATCGTGTCATTGTCTTCGAGGGAACACCATCAATTAAAACTACTGCAAACACGTACGTCAGATACTTTGAACAACTCATTTATTAATTGGCTGTTTATTGACGTTTGATTGTGTGAATGATGTCATACTGATAGATTTAGTAATCAATCGATTGGCATCTTGATATGCGATTGGTCAATCGGTTCGTTGGTTCATGATTAATTGACTCTTGGTATGATTTACTGATTGATTGATTGTTCGGTTGATTGATTGATTGTTCGGTTGATTGATTGATTGATCGGCTGATTGATGAATGGATTATTGATTCCTTTTCAGACCGCAGTCACTATTGACAGGAATGAACAGATTCTTAGAGTCACTTCAAATTACATTCAGACGAGACCCAACCAACTTCAGACCTCGCATCAACAAACTCAATTCAGTSAAGGTGTGTATAACTGACTTTATACAAAGCAACAGAAAAACTCGAGCCAGTCTTTCTGGAGACTAGCAGTTTCTAGTGGAAACGTCCGAGTATATTCTTTATTCGTCTGTTTKGTGACAATCGATGAMMKGCAGCAT